TCAAACTTAATTGATAAGAAAATCTCAGAGAAACTTAGACTGTACGTGAGCTATTTTTTAATTCATGGAAAATTCCCATTGGAACATATAGAAAATCAAAACAAGTGATTCAGCGAAGAGACTCTTTTCAACGAATTCATTATTAAGCTGTAGAATCGTATATATATATATATATATATATGGTTTTTAAGAAGTTATATCCAGTGAGAATAGTAATAGGAACAACTGACGTAATAAAGGAAGAGTATACAAACTGAATAGACAAAACGAAAGAATTGGTAGAGCCAAAATATAATTAGGGATTACCATACTTTAGCATACAGGGATCAAGGTCATGAAAGTTGGAGGGATTGAATGGACTTTTTCTGTACACAGAGATCTGACTTTTCTGTTCCAGTAGCCAAAGCTTCAGCAACACAGATGATTCGGGTACGTAGTGATTTCGGTAAATTACTTTTTTTTCTTGTAGATGACTTTAAAGGCGGAGGCTACAGAGATAGGATGATCATTATAGACAAGTTATTCAATGATCGCGCTTCCTACTGCTCCACTTCCACCTCTTCGCAACTATGCAGGATAGTGTTCTTGAACCCTTTTGGACAAAACTCGATATGACATTAATTGTACTGTCACTTGACATTGAACTATGATTATAATTACAAATATTTTAATCGCATTTCATACTACTATTATTATTTTATGCATTCACACCTGTGATTCAATTCCCTGACCGGATATAACTTCTTAAAAAACCATGTATATATACGAATGTACAGCTTGATAATAAATTCGTTGAAAAGAGTCTCTTCGCTGAATCATTTGTTTTGATTTTGTGTCTGTCAGCTGTTAAATAAATACAGTACATCCACGTTTGTTCATAGCTAGTCAGAGTCTCAAATTCGTAAAACTAATCAATTATATCTTGACTAAACTTTATCAAAAGTGAATTCATAATGTAAATTATGCCCTCAGAGACTAGATCAGGTTTAGAAGTAAAATTATCGTAACATTCATTCCATTTAGCGAAGCCGCCTACAGAAAAAATATTGAAAATGAAAATAAATATGAAACTCACCATAATAAGATTAAAATTTTGATTTTTTCATTCTGAAGAAGCTCGAATGTAGAGTGGGAAGAGAAATTTCTAGAATATTTCATTTTAAACTTGCATAAATTTGTGCCCATTGCTTACTACTCACACTGTGACTACTGATTTAATGGGATCTTGGCCAGAGTTTATATAAATGGAATAGTAATAAACGGTGCATATAGAGTTGTCAGACAAACATAGATCCCTTCAGAATCGGTAACGTTTATCCTCTAATAGGAACTGAAAACAAGCAATAAGTGTGCTACTCACATGACCCAGTACTTGCTCAAGCGGTTGAAGAAAGTTAACTAAGTGCTTCTAGACTACGGATGTGATACTGAAGCTTTCAAGGCACTCACTGCTGTTAATAGACAGACAAACAGAAAGGTAACTGCGATTACAGAGACTTTTACACTTAAAGTCTATAAACTCAGTATCTGTATGCTGAAGGACAGGATGGCTACTCTGAATCAACAGTGGTAGTATCTTTTACTTTGTTAACTGCTACTGTTGTTATTTTATTTCATCTACTATTACTCTTTATCTTGGTTAAAACTATCTTTAATTAGTATAATTATCTTGACGCGTTCCACTACTATTATTATTACTGTTACCAGTAACGACAATAATAAACAAAATCCCTACAAAATCAATACTTGAAAACTGTCTTGTTATTGTCATTGGGGAATTTTGTAATAGTGAAGATCAATATATCGCAAGCTAACATGGACGGAACAGTTTATCAGCTTCCAGAGCATCATCCTACTGATCCGAAAGCGAAACCTGGTCCGAGGATTAGAAAAATCTGTTCTGAAAACACGATAGAGAAAGAATTAAATTTATTACGTGGAACCCTACTGGAGAACGGGTATCCATCAAGATTCATAGATAAAAACATGAAAGAAAAGCCTTCGTCGCAAAAAACCACAACTATCCCTAAGTAAACTCGCTTCATGGACCTCAAATTCAAAGGTGACATTGAAGCAGAAATTATAATAAAGCGCCTTTACAAATGTCTGAAGAAAACATTTCAAGCAGCCATCTTACTTATGACACTCCCAAGAAGACTGTTAATACAATCTAACGTTAAGGATAAGATGCATCCCCTTTTAACCACCTCAGTGTACATTTATCTGTTCACTTGTTCGCGTGGAGTACGCAGCGTCAAGTCCGCAAACGTATCCTGGAACATTATCCAGATTGTTAGTTAGCTAGCCAGAGGAGGAAAGAAGAATATTACCAGCTCCATCCTCGAACACCTTGTCATCTCTGGACATAGAGAACCTCCACTTGCATGAATGCTTCACAGTGCTACACTGGGTCCATCAATATCGTACAAGAAGACTTCCCATACGCCATCTGTACATACCTGAATCATTGGCTGGCTATTCGGTATCTGAAACCGTTAGGTCTTTGAACTTTGGATATAATACACTGATAGCCTCCCAGTAAATGTTGAATGTAGAATAAGTTTCACTTTTCATATATTTTACTTACAGTTCCCAGATGTTTTGAGTCTTATTAAGATTTGGATGACAAGTTTCAGAACTGATCCTTAGAAGTAGGACAACAGAGTGAGTTAATGATTCAATGGTTGAATGCTTGACTAGCATGTGGGAGGTCTTCGTTCGATTCCTGGCCGACACACTTCTAAACCTCGGTCAGTATAATGAATGGTAATAAATCCAAAAAAGAGGAAAGGTTAGACGTGAGACTACCAACTCCCACATCCCATTTAGAAAGCAGAGGATTCAACTGCGCTTGTGGAGCGAGTTATGTTGGCTGTTGCTCTAGGAACTTGATTTTTCATGCTCGAGAACATATCCCACTATGGCTAAGTAAAGGTGTAGTTAAAACTATTAACAGCTCGATATTGGACCATCTGGTGCAAACCGGTCACAAAGCCAGCGTAGACGAATCCTTCTCCATAATATACCGGGTGCCTAACAAACTACCAAAATCGTCGAAGCACCGCATGCTCCAAACAACAGAGGCTATTGCAATTCGCCTCAAACAACCAGTGCTCTGTGTCCAAAAGAAACAAGTCCAGCCACTACTACTGCCCTGGCCCTCAGTAGAGACTATAAACTCATGAATTTGTACTATTACCTTTCCTAATTCTTCTGAAATTCAGCTTATTTTATGTTGATGCTGTTCAGCTGTAATCTATCAATATTATTGATTCGATGTTATTTAAACATTAATGTCGTTCATAAGACTAATTCATTCATTATGATGTATACATAATTGTAGAACCTGATGATGAATTTATCGAAAAGAGTACTCTTTGTTCCGTGTCTATTCTGATTAAAAATACGTTTCAAAAGTACTAATAACACTGCAGTACGCAATCAGTAATAAGTAGCAGATGTTGATAATAGCTCAAAACATTGGCTATTCTGTTCAGCTGTTAAATAAACTGAATACCGTGAAGTTAAACTTTAAGCATCAAAAAGCAGTAACATATAAATGACCTTGAAAGCACCAATCATATGAAAGTGGAGAGTTTTACGTATAAAATGCATATATTTGTGAAAATAATGATTAAAAAGGCATGTAACTGTTACACAGGATAACTTTTTTCATGTGTGTCAAAGTCACCCAGTTTTGCATTGGATGTCAACAGAGAAATTAAACCACACTCCATACATGCATCCATCTGGATCTTCTAATTATAACCCTAATGCAAAACTATCCCTAGACTAACCCTATTCTAGCTCCAACTACCCCTGATATCTCTCTTATCATGTTAACCTAATCCTAACCTGTCCTTAGCTCAAGCTGCAACTTATTTTTTATATTTAATTTATTCCTTTCCATTCCAAGTGGAACACGGGGCTTCAGGCTAGGCCTTTGAAGTTTCGGTAGCAGTGGTGTTTACTTTTAAGGGGTGTGGTTGCTAGCTTCACGCGTCTTAACTGGTCTTATTACTGGCTTAGCAAGGTATAGGAGTGCGCCAGTAGGTGATCGGCCCCAGACCACATGCGTGGTTGGTGAATATTCTACGGCTAAGCCACCGACGCACAAGCCTTAACCTAATCTTTCCCAAATCTAACCTAAAGACTCACCAGATATCCCGTTTAGTTTCATAGCACTTCCCTGAGCATATTTTACTCATGATTATAGTGGTATTTGCCTAGTTTCACCAACTAGCTGACTAAAGGTTCCAACGTCAGTGGTGCGGCCACTCTCCTTCGGTACGTTTCGGTACTCAAAGGTTAACTTCATCTGGAATACACCAGTTTAGTTTAATTTGTATATCTTGTCGATTGATTATGCTGGTCTGAAATGCTCCTAGTGAGGACGTTCCAACCATGTCTGATGTTTGACGTGATATCATTTTAGTGGATGATAATTAGCAATTGAATCTAAGCTGCACGTTTCGGCCTACCTGGGACTCGTCACCAGGATGTGACTGCACTCCCACTGAGACTCGAGCCGCGTATCAATCGTTTCAAACACTACAGTATTATCTACTAGGTCATTAGGGCCACGAGAGCCACGCCCTGTGCAGTGAGTGTCAGTTATTATTTGTGTTTAAGTTAATTTACATTTCTCGTCGACTGATTACGTCGAACTGGAATGCTCGATCTCTACTCACAAATGCATTCAACTGACGAGTCCTAGATGGGATGAAATGCACATCCTGGAAACCAATGCTAGTCGCCTTCAGTCGCTATACACCTCTCTTCGCTATGCAACAAAGTGTACAAAACATTTATTATCATTTGTCTTCAACAGACCTTTTTTCAAATATCATTGCCAATAATAAATTGTGTGCTGAATTTATTCCATTATGTTTTTTTTTTTTTTGATAAAAGTGGCATCATCCAAGTAACCAATTAATTTACACTTCACACATGAAATCGATATTTAGTCAGCACAAATCACATCAGAACTCTTCTCTTTATCACATACACACACTGCCCCCGCCTATTCACCTATTCATGTCGTACATGTCAACCTACTGATCACTCAGATATGTCCAACCGTTGGTTACACCTTTTCGACTTTATTTATTAGTTTTCGAGAGAAATATGAAACGTCTTTTCTATGTCCCTGTTTCTCTCTCTCTCTCTTGATCGAATTCGTTGTTCATTGGTTATTCACAAAGACAATAACCAAGGTGACACATTATGATACCCTGCAATCTATACATTTACATTCTGATTGATTATTTTTCACTTTGTTTTATGTTTCGAATCATTATTGTTAGTTTTCTTGTATGTTTGCTTGCTGTTTACCGCCATTTTGATCAGGACTTTGCACCTAATGTTGAGTATATAAGCCATTCCATCACTTTTGAGTATACATATGATCATTTGTGTCGATAACAGCTAGTGACATAATTGTTATTAGCAGAAAACTTTATCGTTAAATAAAATGTAAAAACCAGAGAAAAAAAAGGAAAAAATAACGAACATTAATTCATTGATTAGTGAGCTAACCATCATTATTTGTTTCACTTGATGTCATAACATATTTATTATCACTATTATTATTATTATTGTTATTAAAATTACTTATCTTTCCCTCACTCCAATGAGTAGACGATCCGTGAACCCTGTCAACCCCTTATTATGTATGACTGTCCGATTAGAACATTATGTTGAATTACGCATAACTGATAAATACTCTACACCGATATTTCAATATCGTCTTGAACAACACTTTTCTAGTCCATGGAAAGAACCAAGAAAGTGTATTAAAACCAAGCTTATCCTCACGTATACATCAGTCATATTGAAAAATGCATCATGGTGGCCATACCGCAGTATTAATTCAATCGATTATAAATCAATACAAAAATTTATTACATTTAATCAAGAGAATTTAAGATTCGCCATTGGTATATATGATGAAGATTTCGCAGAGAAACAATATGTTGTTATGTCAGCAAAAAATTTCTCTGATGTTGAAAAATTAATTCAATTAATTCATTCACAATTATTAATATGGAAACATTCATTAAAAGATGAAAGTGATCAATTCAGTCAAACTAAAGTGAATAAAAAATCAATAATTCATGGAAAATCAATAAATTCATTGAAATCAATCGATAAAAATACTTATTTAAATGATGTCAATGAACAAAATTCAGGAAATAATACATATAAAATACGAAAAGTATATAATAATAATAACAATCGTCACGGGGCCCATGGAGATAAGCAAAGATCACATCATACCTATACCAATTTAGATGATAATAATGTACAAATAATCGAAGCCCAACAAAGTACATCACATAATTGTAATTGTGGTAATAAAGGACATAAAGTAAAACTGGATAGAAAGACAAAAGAAAATGAAATTAAAAGTCATCATAAAAACAGTCAAACAGACACTGAGTATTATTATCATCATTCCCATCATGATAACCATCATTATGATCACCATCAATATGCCACATATCCTTATGAAAATGATCCGAAATCATGGGAAGTAGATATTAAATACATACGCTATGATCCTGTACTGGGAAATATTTTAGATGAAAACGGTTCAGTTTATTTATATACTGCACATGAAATTCCCTAAATGACACAGTAACTATTCACCTTTTTTTGTTTTCTAAATCAATGAATATTGATATTCAGATTGTTTAACCTAATTTTTTGTTTTTTTGTTTTATCATGTAATACAAAGAAGATACCTTTCTGTATCAGTATCGTACCTCTTTATGTGCTTCAATGTGTTTACCATGATTCTAGTCTCTATGTGAGTATTTATAATACACTATGAAGACAGGCTTCATTGGTTTAATGGGCAACGTGTTCGAGTCGCTCTCCACCATGTGGAGTCTCACCAGCCACTTACATTGAATATTATTGCTTTTATTATTATTGATTTGATCACTAGCTGACATCAGTCAGAGAATCGTTGGAAAACCTGTGAGTATTGGAAAGCTGTTTTGTCCTAGTTTGGGACTCTTCATCGGTAGGCGCCCATGACTCTCCAGTTACAAAAGGAACCTGCAGATCATTCAGCCACTGGGACCCGATTCAATGGCCCATGAATTCTAACTTCTGTCAAACTAGGAAGAAGTAGCAGTACAATACTCTTAGGTTTTCTCAAGGTTCTCTGACTGATAACCAGTCAAAAGTCTGTAAACCAAAACCTGTTCATTATTGCTGTCACCAAGCTGTCTTATATAAATGGTATTAAATTCAAATAATTGTGACTGGCGTCATCATTAGCATCAAACAACCAAGTATGACAGAGTAGTGTTCATCAATTAACAGGTAGTATAAAGATCAAATAAACTATCGATATATAATCGACGATGGTAGAATTCCAGCAGACGATAAAGACAAAGCAACGGAACAAACAAGATACTGTAATCGGTAGAATGGAATGTCCCCCCCTGCAGTATTCACATATCATCAATACGCCATAAGTGAAACTTTTCAGAAAGATCAAGCTATCTGGCTCCATGCTAACCGAGTTTCTATCAATAATCTATGCAAAATGAAGGGTTCGTACGGCAGGCCAGGTCAGACGAAGTATTTATGCAAATCAGCTGTGAAGTAGTAACTGATGCCAGGGGGGAGGGGGAGATATCTTAAGGATGCCAGTGTTCAGAAGATTATGTATCAGCAAAAAAAGCTTCAGGTAAATTGAGTAAAACTGAATTGTAGATTCTACTGATTAGGAAATAGCGACTGGTTCTGGAAAGACCAATTTAGCGCTGACATATTACTCTGAATTATTTTAGAGCGCAAATTACTAGCAACACTCTGTGATTTATTTGACTGACAGGATGAAACTGTTTACATAGGGAACTAAAATCTAAAAAAATCTTAAAGTACATTTTATACTAAAATATTCCTTGATATACTTTGTGAAATGTCCTTTTTCTTTATCATGTATGCATGAAAAAAGGAACAGCAACGGAGAACAAATTGTTTTTTTTTTAAACCGCCATCTTTGTTCACACCTACTATATCAATTAGTGTAAGTGCAGAATTTGGACACTACGGTACGTGTACTTCCGTATTACATAAGTTTACTTTATATATGACACACACACACACAGTGATGCGGTTTTAATATGTGGATGACGTTTCGAGCACAATCTGTTACTCATAATCATATATATGTATATATAAGGTATGTTGGTATTGCCTTTTCATTCATTTTAGTACAGCTCTTTCGGTATTTTGACCATATTTTGTTTTAATGAGAATACCGCTACTCAGCTAGGCTTAACTTCCTGCGGTAGAAGAACTAATGTCCACTAAAAGTGAAGCATAACTGTACAATTATGCCTAACCTTGACTGTATTCAAATTTCAAAATAAAATATATAAACAAACGAATGGTGGGAGACAATGGGATCACCAATATCTACAATAAATGCAGACATATTTAAAGATACTTGGGAATGCAAAACTCGGAGAACGTCTAATCCTACTTCTAGGTTATGGTGGAGGTACGTGGATAACACATTCACTGTTTTAGAATCTGAACTTCATCCCTTGGTTCTTCACACATATAAACTCGGTGGTAGATGGAATCCAATTCACTTTTGAGTTATAAAATACTAGACTGCGAAATCGAATGAAAACAAGATGGTGAGTTAGATAAAAGAATCTAAACAAAACCGACGCATTCTAATAAATGCTTAGACATAGATTGATCCCGCCCAAAATCTGTAAAGATACGTTTAATTAGGTGTTTATATTATCGGGCCAGGAATGAGGTCAATTACACAGGTCATACTAATAGATCTAAGCCACTTAGACTATAGAAAAAATAGAAATTTAACTAGAGCTACAATGACTGACTCTACTAGATTAAATAATCTATTTTTAATAGTTGGTTTGTAAGGATTAGATTTGTTTTTATGAGATGAACACGGATTGATATCAGTTAGAGAACCATTGAAAACCAGGGAGTACTAGACAGGCAGCTATTTCATTCTAGCTTGGAAATCATCAGCAGTACGCACCCACCGATGCTCGTTAGTGACTCGTTACAGGATGGAGTTTCCTGGATTTCTAGTGAGAAGTTGTGGATGGAGTTCCCACCGACGAAATTGGTTGGTGGTCGCGCTAAATCACGAATTGGTAGAAGTTAGAATTCATGGGTTGTCCATTGAATCGAGTCCCAGTGGCTGAATGGTATACGAGCTTGTCTTATAACCGGAAGGTCTTGGGGTCGAATCCCGGTGGGTGCGTACTGATGAAGAGTCTCAAACTAGGACGAAACAGCTGTCCAGTACTCCCAGGTTTTCCAGTGGTTCTCTAACTGATGTCAGCTCATGAAGAAATCCTCCATGCAATATGTATATATGACTATGCACAATAAATTGTACTCGTATGGTCATCCATTTACGAATGCTGTATCACTGTGTGTTATATCAAATAAACTTATTTACCACGGAACCACTCTGTCAGCGTTGATCATTCTGCGAGAGTTTGGAGCAAGCAAAATCGCAGTGAATTCACGTTCGACCTTTGACATGTCTATCACACTGTATCAGTATCATATCTTCATGATAGGAGTAATCACTTTCGTATGTGTAATTGTTTTTTATCTGTCTGATGAATAAATCGATTCAACTCAGATTTGAAACAAGAAATAACAAAATACTTAAGACTGTAATGTGAATTATAAAGTGATTCAACGTACAGGGCGAGTCATCTTGATGGACAATGAAGGAGCCTTAGAAACCACACAGTTCAGCTTAGCGAATATGATGACACCAGAAATAGTATGAGTATTACCAATAAACCCATTTGAATATAAAACAATTGGAGTGTATCCCTAAATGAGGTATCTTACAAATCGTTTCTACATAGTGGTCAATACTGGTGTTACGGCCATGACTTACTTTACAGGATTAATGCATTCTTAATACATATGTCATTTAGGCTGACTGTAGAACATTTACGAATGAAGTGATGGTCGGCTATTCCAGAGAGTAAGACTAATGAAGGCGAATAGAGTATGTAGTGGAACAATCGACGTTAGTAAGATGTATTCAAATACCTGTCAGTCATTCTGTACTAAGTAAACGTCGTTTCTCATTTTCTGTCGCCTGTCCAATTCTCTATCGTATCTGAAACATTTTTACCTTGTTTCCACTGTGTTGACTATACTGCTTGTATATACACTATCGTTACTTTGCCTGTGACAGTATACTATATACATATATATGTGCTAATTGTACTTCTTTTAATGGGTGGCGCACATCATACTACAGTTGTAGTCATCAAACCTAAATGCAAAAGTATCAAGATTCCCAAAAAGTAAGATATCTGATTTCTGTGTTCACTATTCTGTGTTCACTGTGCCAGATTTGTAAGTCAGATGGCTCACCTTGTGACCGTCTTTATTTAAACTAATGCTCTGTAAAGTTACGAGTACAAGTGGTGGAGTTTCATCTTTGTTTATAACAAAACATACTGTTAATAAATGTCGTAGAACTGATGCTGAAACAGCTGAAAAAGATTTTATGCCAAAACTGTAAGTGCCGCATTACTTTACATTATCTCTTTATGTTCCCAGTGGAATATAGGGCTTCAAGCTAGAGGCTTGAAGTTTCGGTAGAAGTGATGTTTATTTTTATGGGATGGGGCTTCTAGCGTCTGTGTCTCTCTACGACTATGCCACCGAAAGTTGTATCTGGTTAAGCTGCGAAGAAGGCATCCAAGGCTAAGTTGCCGAAGGGTGACAAGAAGAAGAAGAGGAGGAGGAAGGAAAGCTATGCCATCTACATCTAAAAAGTCCTCCGTCAAGTCCACCCTGACACTGGTATTTCATCCAAAGCCACTTCAATAATGAACTCCTTCGTCAACGATATTTTCTAACGCATTGCAGCTGAGGCAAGCAGGTTGTCGCACTACAACAAGAAGTCCACCATCTCAAGCCGTGAAGTTCAGACAGCTGTTCGTCTCTTGTTGCTTGTTGAACTCGCTAAGCACGCCATGTCAGAAGGAACAAAAGCTGTCACGAAGTACAGTGGCTCGAAGTAAACCATTCCGCCAGAAGTAGAGTGCGTCGGACGGGGATTGAACCCCGAACCACATGTGTGGTTGGCGAGCATTCTACCGCTGTACCACCAATGCCACTAATAATAAGAAGTACCGCATGCTGAACAAAATATGCTGAGTTAGTAGATATGAGTAAAACGAGGACTGCTCTCTATGTGTACAAAGTCGGTATTACAAATAGCCTACCTTGGCAATACTTATTTGATTGAATTACCAAGAATATGATCGATTAGTACCCCGCTTATTCTTGAATCCTCTGTTATTTACTTTATTCTCAGTGATTTTTCATTCCTTTATTTTCATACAAACTGAATTTAATAGGTAGATCAGATTTTTTGAAACGTGTTTGTCAAATGCATCACCTTTTCCAGAAAAACTTTGTCTTTTCGTGTACAATTATCAGATGTGCTAGGCATGTTTAACTTTTGAAAATAAGACGCCCTCCATTTACTGTTAAACGGTAAAATGATCTTCTTATCTTCAAGCTGAAAATAGCATATGACGAAGTGAAACTGGAATTCTACAGACTCAGTAGCTGCAGTCACACATTTCCAAGACCATTTCATAAATCTTTACAATTCTTTCTGATAATTCGTCATTAGGTTCTATACTTATGTACCTATAATAGTCTGTGCTATTGACAACACGGATGTCTTTCAAATAACATGGAGTCATTAAGATAAACAGTTTAAGAATATGGTTTAAAACATGTATATGGGATAATGTGCATAAAAACAAGGTTGAATTGAATAGCAGATAAATCGATTGTTTCAAGC